TCTTAGTTTAGTTTTAGTAGTTGGAGTCATGGTAGGTGGTGCTGAAGCAAGGGCTTTCTTTGTATTTGGTGATTCACTTGTTGATAGTGGAAATAACAATTTCTTGGCCACCACAGCACGTGCTGATTCTCCTCCTTATGGAATTGATTATCCATCTCGTAGACCAACTGGCCGTTTCTCCAATGGCTTCAACATTCCTGATCTTATCAGTTATGTTTTCATATATGTTAACACCTCTTGAACCCTTTTTGCTTCAACATTCTTTTTCTTTTTCTTTTTTAAACTTCAATTCCATCATGCACATTTGATTACCCTTTTTGTTCATGTAGCTTTGCCTAATATAACCAACTAAGCCTAGACACATAAGAGTGTATATCTAACTAGTTGAATTGTTACAGGTCAGAAACTTGGTGCTGAGTCAGCATTGCCATACTTGAACCCACAATTAAGAGGAGAGAAGCTCCTAGTTGGTGCCAATTTTGCTTCAGCTGGAATTGGAATCCTTAATGACACTGGAATTCAGTTTGTAAGTTGATTCTTTACTTCCTATGATATATACTATCTAATAAATGTCAATAAAGCATGTTCAAAACCTTATGCATCAGCATATGTAAACACAGGGGAAGGATCCATTTACAAATTTTTGTTACAAATTTATGCAAATTGCACTATGTTCTCCCGGGAAAAGATAGTGTGATTAGTGTTCTCCCGGAAGAAAATAGTGTAGTTTGTAAAAATTTGTAAACAAAAAAATTTGTAAATATAACTTGCCCCGTAAACATAACCCAATTAAGGTTAGAAGTTAGAAAATGATTAATAAATGCAACTTTTGCAGGCAAACATAATAAGAATGTATAGACAGCTAGAGTATTTTCAAGAGTACCAGAACAGATTGAGTGGTCTAATTGGAGCAAGTAGAGCTAAAAGTCTAGTGAATCAAGCACTTGTTCTCATCACTGTTGGTGGCAATGATTTTGTAAACAACTACTACTTAGTGCCAATTTCTGCAAGGTCACGCCAGTATCCACTACCTGAATATGTCAAGTATCTCATCTCTGAGTACCAAAAGCTTTTGCAGGTAACACCCCATCAAACACTATTAATGGCAGAGTTTAAATAACTCTATTAGACTTTATAGCATAGCTTGTCCAAACAGAACTCTTGTGATTCCTATTTGTTTTTATGTAACAATATACAGAAGCTATATGATCTTGGAGCTAGAAGAGTTCTTGTGACAGGCACAGGACCTTTAGGTTGTGTTCCTTCAGAATTGGCACAACGTGGCAGAAATGGACAATGTGCTGCTGACCTACAAAGTGCTGCATCATTGTATAACCCTCAACTTGAAAACATGTTGTTACAACTCAATAGGAAAATTGGCAGGGATGTTTTTATTGCTGCAAATACAGCACAAATGAATAACAACTTCATCAATAACCCCACAGCATTTGGTACTATCCTACACACACTACACTACACTAAATAATTTCCATGTGAAAATAGTCATAAAGAAACAATAATTGACATTTATGTTGTTGATTTGGACAGGATTCATAACATCAAAAGTAGCATGTTGTGGGCAAGGACCATATAATGGTATTGGGCTATGCACACCACTCTCCAACCTGTGTCCCAATAGAGACTTATATGCATTTTGGGATGCATTCCATCCATCTGAAAAGGCTAATAGGCTTATTGTGGAGAATATTATGTCAGGTTCTAAAACCTACATGAACCCAATGAATCTTAGTACCATCTTAGCTTTGGATGCTACCACATGAAGATAGATATTTACACCAACCCAATAAATCCAAGCACTCCTTATTGGATGCTACTTCATGATGTCTCTCATTGCTTTTTTTTTTAATTATTGTAATTGTGATTTTCGTAATCCTTAATATGTAATTGCAGAACATAATTAATGGAAGGCAGAAACTTCCATTTACCTAGTGAAACAATGGAAAATAGAAATGGTGAATTCATTCCAAAACTGTTATTCTGTTCTTTTTTTTCGTCTATTGGAGCACCCTTGGCAGCTACATGTGAAGTACTAATTATTAGTTTATGAATATCGATATTAAAACAAAAATATTAATATTTTTATCCTTTATTTTTTTTTAATTTATTTACAGTATTCGTGCACAATCTTTATCCTTTATTTTTAAAAAATTGCGGTATTCATGAATATTAGCAGATATTTAAGAATTTTAAAAATTAAAAAAAAATAAAATAAACATTAACATTAACATCACATACCACAAATTCATTTAACAATTTTTTTAGTAGATTCATTCAACAATTCCAAACTCTTATAAAATTAAAATAGTTTACAAAATTTAATTGTAAATCAATTTATATAAATAATTATTACACGATTGATATATATTTCTTTTAATAATTTTATCATTATGATTTTATTTATTAAAAAAATCATCATAAAATAATTTGACTAGATAATCCGAGCCTTTATGTCACCCACTTTTACTACAGGACAAGATATCAATATCGTCCTCACTCTCATATAATCACTTTAACTATATTGCAGCTTACTTTTATCCATGATTTATAATACACTAACATCCAATAATTGTTCACTCAATTGCATGCATTATCAAATAATCTCTACAACCACCTATATATATATATAAGCAACACTGATGCTCTAATATTTTACTTTTTGTTTTACTTCACCTCTATCTAATAATACTAATTTGAGCGCTGGAATCATCACACCTAAACCCCCACTTTATTTTTCATCACAGCACATGATGAAGTTACATAAGAATCTTTTTCTTTTTTTTTGGAAGATGAAGTTACATAAGAATCTAATAGTGATCATGATTAATATTTAAAAAAGTGTTACATACATTTATTTTTGAAAGAATATAGGAAATTTAAATTCTTTGTCTCGAGCACATGAGTACAGTAACAAATAATTCTTCTTTGATAATTTTTTTATTTAACACAATGAAAATTTAAATAAATAAAATAAGTAGCGGACTTAGGGGAGGGGCGTGGGCTGGTGGTCTCCCCTCCCTAAACTTTGATATTTTTTTAATATATATATATATATAGAAAAGATTTTTTTACAAATTTTTGCAAATTAATATATATTCCCGAAAGTACATAGTGTAACCGAATATATTTCCGAGAGTACATAGTATAGTTAATAAACAAAAAATTTATAAATATAATCTTCTTTATAGAGCTTTGTTTTAGTGGGTCCGGTACACATGGTCCCATTCCAAAAATAGCAAAGGACAAGGGAGTGGGAGGGAATTTTTAAAGAAGTGAGAGAAAAAAGAAAGCACATTTTTCCAAAAATAGAAAATGGACCACCCTAAGAAAATAGTCCCGGCTCATTTTAAAAAATCCCCTCCATATATATATATATATATATATATATATATATATATATATATATATATAATGACTGTGGAGCTTATCCTATTTTCTGGCTAGCAGATCTTGTTGCAATAACATTGGCAGAAGATCATCGTCTACAAAAAGCTGGAGCTTATCCTATTTTCTTAAACATGTAGTCAAAGCCTAGTATGGTAGCACCTTTTTGTGTATTAATGCAGGTCCATAGTTGTTCATGATCCCTGACCCGAACCCATTATTGGTTTTTCTATTGAAGGTGGTTAGTTTTATTATTTCCAACCATTTAGCAATTGTTTCATGATTTCCTCACTCCTAGTGTAATATTCTTCTATACAGTTATCCAATTAGCAAATTTGAGGAGGCTGAATAAACTTATAATGTCCATGATTGACTTAATAGGCTTTTCAGGGGCTAAAACATCTGTTCTGTGATTGTTTCATACGGTAAGAGAATAATATAAATTATTAATGTAATCTCACCTAATAGCTTAAGTTTTGTATTAAATTGGTTCTTTACATGATAATAGAGTTCGGTGTCACGAGTTCGATCCTCACTGCCCCTCATTTCATTAATAATTAATTTAGTATTGTGGAATTTCTTAGCACAAGTATTGTCCACCCTTCAAGTCCAGTGGGCTCTCATATGAGAGGGTGTATTAAAAAATAATATAAACCATAATGTAGCCTCTGTTGGAATATTCAAGTGTGATGGAGTCCCACATTGGTTGGTAATGAGCTAAGTGAAGTGCATATGAGTAAGAGGACCCATAAATATAATGCATTAAGGTTTTGAGTTGTAACATAGTTTCGGACCCACTTGATATGAATTGAAAGAAATATTTGTATGTAATTGAACTGAGTAATATCTGTACAAGAGTTCTCTATTTAAATAGACTAAAAGACCTAATAGGCTAAGCCCAAATACACTTATAGAGAATCCTAACTATTACAAAATAATAAAATAATTTTAATATTTACAATACTGTCCCTCAAGCTGATGAATGGATATTTATCATTCTAGGCTTGGTAGTAAGTTCTTGAAATCTATCATTAGGAAGACCCTTAGTTAAGACATCAGCCAATTGACGACCAGAAGGAATATATGGAGTAGTGATCAGTCCACTGTCTAATTTCTCTTTAATGAAGTGGCAATCAATCTCAATATATTTGGTTCGATCGTGTTGAACTGGATTGTGGGCTATGCAGATAGCTGACTTGTTATCACAAAGTAACTTCATAGATCCTTCATATCTCACCTTGAGATCATTGAGAATGATTTTCAGCCATAATAACTCACAGATGCCTTGAGCCATAGCTCGAAATTCTGCTTCTGCACTTGATCTAGCAACCACATTTTGCTTTTTACTTTTCCATGTTATAAGATTTCCATAGAGAAACATACAATAGCCTGAAGAAGACCGTCGGTCAGTCACGGATCCAGCATAATCGGCGTCTGTATAAACTTCTAAAGATAGGTTTCTTCCTCTCTGGAACAATAGTCCTTTACCTGGTGTGCTTTTCAGATATTGGAGAATCCTGTCCACAGCTCGCAAGTGTTTCTCCCTCGGATCATGCATAAATTGACTAACAACACTAACTACATAAGCTAAATCAGGTCTAGTATGAGCTAGATATATCAATCTTTTCACTATTCGTTGATATTGTCCTTTGTCAATTAGAGAGCTCTCATTTTCACTTCCTAGTCTGTGATTCTTCTCAATCAGAGTACTAGAAGGTTTACACCCAAGTTTTCCAGCTTCTTTAAGGAGGTCAAGAACATACTTTCTTTGACAAATAAATATCCCTTGCTTTGAATGAGCAACTTCTATTCCAAGAAAATATCTCAGTTTTCCAAGATCTTTAACTTCAAATTCAGCAGTCAGTCTTTTTTTCAGAGCACATTTCTCACCTATATTATCTCCTGTTAAAATAATGTCATCAACATAAACTAGAAGTATAGTGGTCTTACCCTCCTGAGAATGTTTAATGAAAAGTATATGATCCCCTTAGCTTTGTTTGTATCCCAATGAAAGCATAACTTTAGTAAATCTTCCAAACCAAGCACGCGGGGATTGCTTCAAGCCATACAATGCCTTCTTTAACCTACAAACTTTATTATCTCCATTTGTAAAGTTAAATCCTGGTGGAATCTCCATGTAAACCTCCTCTTCTAATTCACCATTGAGGAAGGCATTTTTCACATCAAATTGATTCAAATCCCAGCTAAAATGAGCAGCGAAGGACAATAGAACTCTTACAGTGTTCATTTTGGCCACTGGAGCAAATGTTTCTTCGTAATCAATGGCATAGGTCTGTGTGTATCCCTTGGCTACCAGTCGAGCTTTATACCTCTCAAGAGTTCCATCAGAATTATACTTCGGAGTATACACTCATATGCACCCTACTGTCCTTTTTCCATTTGGCCTGCCAACAACTTCCCATCTATTATTCTTCTCCAATGCAATCATCGCCTCAAGCATGGCTTGAACCCAATTATCATCTTTTAATGCTTCATGTACTGATTTCGGGATTGAAATGGAGTCAAGTGCTGTAATAAAACTTCTATGCTGCATAGAGAGATTCTTAGAGGAGACAAAACGAAAAATAGGATGTTGGGTACAAGACATTTTCCCTTTCCTTACAGTAATGGGTAAGTCATCAGAATTAATATCAGTTTCAGGAATAAAAGAAGTAGTGTGTTCAGTACTTACCAGTGGTTCAGGTGATTGCAGTTGCTAGTGGGACAGTGTGGGTTGTTTCTTCCTTTGGTACTATAGTTTAGGTGTCCCAGTTTTGCATACTTTCTATCTATCAATAGGAGGCATGTCACATGAGGAATCAGATGAATTTTTAGCCTCAACAATTAAGTCTTCCTTCTCATTGTCATGTAGTGTAACTACTGGAGTAGAAGATGTAGGTAACACAAAGGGAGACTCAGACTCGAAGAAAATGGATGAAGCTTCTATATTGTTCTCCCCCTGAAGCTTATGGTGTAGAAAGTAAGACTCAGATTCATGGAAGTTAACATCCATAGAGAAAAAGAATTTACGACTCGAAGGATGGTAACATTTGTATCCTTTCTTGTTGGGAGCATAACCAAGGAAGACATACTTAAAGGCTCTAGGCTCTAATTTACTCCGATGTTGTTTGTAGATATGGACGAAGGCAACACATCCAAAGATACAAGACTGAAGACATAGCATAATTGGAACAGAAGGAAAAAAAAGAGGTTATGAGATCAATAGGACTTACATGGCCAAGGACTCTGGAAAGCAGGCGGTTGATCAAATAGGCTACAGTTAATAAGGCTTCTCTCCCGTAAGAGTTGGATACAGATGTTTGAAACAATAATGCTCAGGTGACTTCAAGCAAATGTCGATATTTTCTTTCAGCAACCCCATTCTATTGAGAGGTGTCCACGCATGTGAGCTCATGAATCATACCCTTATCTGAAATGAATTGTGACAGACGCTGGTTGACATAATTCATACCATTATCAGATCTTAATCGTTTAATACTTTTACCAAATTGTGTCTCGAGCATTTTATAAAATCGAATAAACAATTTTGGTACTTCTGACTTATCTTTCATCAATAATATCCATGTCATCCGAGTGCAATCATCAATAAAAGAAACAAACCACCTAGCACCTGAAATATTATGTACTTTAGAAGGGCCCCAAACATCCCAATGGATAAGAGTAAAGGGCTCAATACTCTTTATTGAACTTGAAGGAAAGGGCACACGATGATGTTTCGCAAGCTCACAAACATCGCAATGGAAGGAGTCAATTGATTGATCCTTAAACAAAGAAGGAAACATTGACTTCAATAAGCCAAATGACGGGTGCCCTAGGCATTTGTGATGAAGCCAAATCTGTAAGAATAAAGTAGACGGGTGATGACTCACCAATAATTGATTCTCGTTATCCCTTGTAGTATGCTCTGGAATGAGATAGTACAACCCACTCTGCTCTTTAGAAATTCCAATTGTCTTCCCCCGTGGTGATATCCTGAATAACACAATAAAAATAAGGAAGGTTGAATTTGAATGTTACCAGAACCCACAACTAATTTGTGGGATCCATCAACTACAACTATAGTACGAATACCACTAGTACGGCGATATGAAAGAAACAGATCAGCTAGACCAGTCATATGATCAGTTGTACCAGAATCCATAATCCACGAATTTTTGAAATTAGTGCAAGTAAGAAAAGAAAGAGGGTGTGTGATCTTACCAAACATAGTAGACCAGAACAGTAAAAACAAATTTCCCTTTTTTCCCTTTTTTTTTTGTTAAATCAAAAAATCAACAAAGATCAACAAAAACGCAAACCAAATGAAGTCCAATCAAAGAGATCAACACAGATCTAGACAGAGAAGGAAAAGACGATCAAAACGACGGTGGTAGGAGACGGAGACTCGTCGTCTCGCGCCCTTACGCGACAGTGATGTTGTCGGCGCGTGGACTTTGTGCGCAGAGAGAGTGGAGCCGGGTGGGAGCGCGTGGGTGGTCGGCCGGAGTTGGGCTTTTCACGGCGAGGTCGCCCGGAGGTTGTGGTCCTATCTGTGGCTGATTAAAGTTCAAAGGGTCGCCAGAAAATGCTTTTCCGTTGATGAACAGTAGCGATGGATTGTTTAGGCTGATCTGCTCGTTGGTTGAATGGAAAATGTCTGAAAACTTATAGATCTGTGAAAAAGGATTCGAATAAGGTCCTCTCGGTCCAAAAGGTCCCCGAAAAATTTTCCGGTGGTGGCGAGAGGAAAACAAAAGAAGGTTTCCACTCTAACGGCGACAATCGCGGAAGCAGAGTCCTCAGAATCAATAGCTTTGATACCAAATGTATTAGGATTTAGCCCATTAGGTCTTTTAGTCTCTTTAAATAAAGAACTCTTGTACAAATATTACTCAGTTCAATTATATACAAATATTTATTTCAACTTGGTATCAGAGCCTCGTGTCCTGGGCTCGATCCTCGCCGCTCCCCACTTTCTCTTGTGGAATTTCTTAACACAGGTAAGCTAGGCCTGATGCATCATCCACCTTTCAAGTTTAATGCACTCTCTTGTGAGGGGGCTTGTTAGTGTATAATATAAACCATTAAAGAGGCCCTCACCTAACAGCTTAAGCTTTTGGGTTGAATTGGTTCTGTACAATATAGTTGTTGAAACTTAACCCATTTATGGTGGTCTCCCGCCACGAGCTCCCCCCTGGGCCGCCTGATAGTGGTATCAGAGTCTGGTTAGGCTCAAGCTAACCTGATGATTTGGCTAGAGGCAGGTTGTGTATTTGGGCTAGGGTCCTCGATTGAGGGGGAGCGTATGTTGGATTTCACACTTTAAGGGAAGATTGTTGAAATATTTAAGTATGATATAGTCTCACATTGGTTGGTAATGAGATAAGTGAAGTGCATATAATATAAGTGAAAGGGCTCATGAACCCAATGCCTTAAGGTTTTGATTTGTAACATGGTACTGGACACACTTGATATAGTTGGTAAAGCTTAACCCATTGGTGGTAGTCCCCGCCATAGGCTCTCCCCTTGACCCGCCTGACAGCTTCACTTAATAGCTTAACCTTTGGGTTGAATTGGTGAGAATGTGGTCTCACTACAGTGATTGCTTTAAAGTATTTCTTTTGTGTAAATAATGGTGGCCTAATCTTAGCATTATTGTTATTGGTTGTATCTTGTTTCTAATAATATATTGAACACTCCGACTATAGCCAAGTTATATTGAAAAACCATCATGGTGTTATTGTATACACATAAAAAATAATGCTTTCAACGCAGATGAAAGGATAGTTACATTGTTTACTTTGCATTTAGTCCATAACTTAAGTCCCAGACGCAGACAAAGTCAACGAGGATCAGGGGCAGCACCCCATAGAGGCCTTGTATTGCTTTGGACCTCAGGATTATTTATAATTTCTTTTCTTTAGTAGTTTTGATTGAGTTCATGAATAACTATTGCGGGTTAAGGGTTTTTAACCCTATTTTCATTCGCTTATAACTAAGTACATTGTAACTAGTGCACTGAGGAGAATATAATAACAGACTTACATTGTAACTTGTTGGAGGTAACCTTACATTGAGGAGAACCAGGGTAAAACATGTCTCCTATTTTTTTCTTCTCTACTTTTTCTATTTTCGATTGTGTGTGTCATTACTTAGTTAATTGCCAAGAGAACTGCTATATTAATGACCTTTTAGTTAGCTATCAAGTTTTATATTATTCTTTATTAGGATGTTTCAGGCTTTCAGTACAAACTGCAATATGCAAGCCGTTTTGTTGGAAACAAGAAGCAATGTTGTTGAAGGTTTCATTCAGTCATGGATTTGCTTTTTGAGCTAATCATTCATCAGTGGCAAAGTAACGATCACCAAACTCCCCCAAGCCAGGGACCACACGAGAATCCTCATTTAGTGATGAATCAATCTCTGATGTCACAAGTTTAAGCATTGGAAATCTCTCACAAACAGCATTTATTCCCTGTGGTGCCTGCATCATGCAGTTTAATTAGTAATAGTGCAGGGAATCCAAAATGCACAAGCACAGGTAAAAATAAGGAAGCAGCAAATTATCAAAGTGACTCACTGCTATTAAATTTAGAAAGATAATGTTGGATTCTGGTACACCCTTCTTGAGAAGCAGAGAGATAGCTTTGACTGCAGAATTTCCTGATAATCATTTAACTATTAGACATTGCAGGAGAATTTAGGAAGCAAGGATACAATACTTGGATATGATATAACATGTAAAATTAGTTAAGAATATGATAAAAGTGCATAACATAGGTAACGAATGTTTTAAAAATTTAGCATTAATTAATAAAATACTGTCATTTATGTAATTATTGTGATATACTTATTTGCATTTGTATAATATTCAAAAGAAGAAAAGTAAAAAAGTTGCAAAATGTAACTAGGAATATCAGAAGTGTTGGTGAAATGTCTAACACGTATCCAACACAGGTAGGTCATGTAAAGAATAATTTCAACGCAAAAGTTTAAACTGTTTGGTGAAGGTACATTAATGGTTTTAGATTTATATTTGTGCAGCACAATTCATAAGCTCACCTATGTGTGCTAAGAAATTTCATAATATTTAATTTTTCATTAATAGAATGGTGAGCGGTGAGGATTGAACTCGTGACCACTTAGTCAAAAAAGCTCTCATATCATGTAAAGAACTATTTCAATCCAAAAGTTTAAGTTGTTGGGTTGAATTGGTTGCTTTACAGGTCAGCTATTCTAGTGGAGAATATAGAGTTATGCAATATAATCTGTTATACCTGTGGCAAGAACTGGATCAAGTAGCAAAACATGACGGCTTGCAATGTCTGATGGTAGCTTCTCATAGACTAACTGCATTACATTGTGAGATTATGAGATAATCACCCTAAGCTAAATGCAGCAAGAATAGGAAAATGCAAGTGGGACAATATATTGGCCTAACCTGCCGGCCGTTTGTGCCATGTCCATGAATAAGGATTTTACCAATTTTGATTCCCTTGCAGCATGCTCTTAATGCATTTTCCATGCTTTCTCCACTGATTTTAAAAAATAGGGAAGAGTATAATTCAAAGAAGAATTGTTAATAACAAGTTTGATATGTTTCAGACACCTAAAAATTAAGGGGGAAAAGTGTAGAACCAAAGGTTTTTTAACTCATAAGGGGGAACACATGCAATATGCATTTCTAGTACTGAGCAAAGCAACTAATGGTTATTTCAAAGGTTCATTTATGACTCATTGAGTATTCAGAGGCACAATTCAGAGTGAAAAAAATTACTTTGGATTTGTGGACACAGATGGTTATGTTCACTTCTGTGGCTAACATATCTCAAATTGTCATATCCAGATGGGAACTATGCTTTGACCTTTGGCATTCCAGGGCAAGAAGTCATAATATTTTCAACACCTCATGATGCTCAAGACTTGGTGTATCACTTATTAAAGCTAGAAAAAAATAACTCACCTAACTGCATTTATTCTTCCGTTTATTTATGGTTATTGCCTCCTAAAGTCCATTTTTTCTACTTTTAGAAGAGTACTTAGGGGAGTACTAAAGATATGCTCACTGATATCATTGAGTTCTGAACTCAAACTTCAGGGACATTTAATGGAAATCTATAGAATCAAGGGTATCATATCATGCAGGATCTTTTATTCCAAAATTGATTAAAGGGGAAGGATCCGTTTACACACTTTTTTTACAAACTCTTACAAATTACACTATGTTCTACTGGGAGAAGATAGTGTGATTAGTGTTCTCTTGGAAAAAGATAGTATAGTTTGTAAGAGTTTGTAAACAAAAAAGTTTGTAAATATAACTTGCCCCTTGATTAAAACACTTAAAATTAAGTACCTTCTAATGACTGATACTCCGCACAGCCTGCTACAGAAGACAACACCTGAGTATACCGATCCTGAAGCCATAGGATAAAACTTAAGAATACTTCACCCCTTTCAGTGGTAATATTATAATTAAATTATAGTTACACATACTCTGTGAAAATAAGTGCACAATTTTTACCCAGGAAAAGTTTTCTTTTCTATTCCCTTTTTTTCTTAATTTTAGCACAGGGTTAGAATGTTTTCTAATGCCTTAACTATTTGAGGAGCATGTAATAGACAGACCCCCATTACAACCTAGAGTAAGAATAGTTTGATACATTGAAGCAATGGTCTAGTGTAACATAGTTTATGAATAGAGAAATTGATCTTGGAATAAGGAATTTTTGTTGTTCTATATCATTGAATATGTACCACATGAATCATAACATTAAAAATATAGTTAAAATGGGAAAAATGAACCGCATAACTGAGGTAATAAGTAATAACCACATGTTTGTTCTAACATAGCTACCTGTTGGTGTAATGACCTGCTTTTCAGTAAAAGGAAGGTGTCCCAGTCCATGCTCGACAACCTTAAAAATCAATACAAAGTCATCATGCTTCATATTTAAGATCATTTTCAGCATTATTTCTATTAATCCAAACTTTCTTACCAGCCTAATTAGACGGTCTGAGTAAAAGACAAAGTCATGCTTTGTTGTTCTGACATCACGGATGAGAGTATGCATTCCTTTTATCTGAGTATAAACAATGATGGCAATTCAGATTCATATATCATCATCATCATCATTTTCATCCTAAGCTTTATCTACATTCTATTTGTGTACAAGATAGAACATACATATGACTGATAATTTTACCTGAAATGTTGAAAACATAAGAAAAATGTTTGGATATATTTTGCACATATCATGCTGGCCAAGCTTCGTACGTATATTTTGTACTATCAAGTCAATGGCAACATCATTATCTCCTCCTCCTGGGATGATAATATCGGCATATTTTTTTGTTGGCAGTACAAAATCTTCAAAACTGGGCTTCACAAATCTGGAATACTGAATATTTATTTTGTAATTAGTCAGGGAGGATTCTAAACATTTTTTAAACAAATTGGAGTAAGTTAGATGCTGAAAAAGAGTTACAAGAACACTAAAACTCTTCAATTATTTTATCATATATATAATCAATATTCACATAATGCAGGATTAAACTTTCATCATTATAGATTGGTATATCTTTGTATTTCTAATTTAACTTCATTCACCTTTGACAAATATGGGATCAAATTGCATGCAAACAATTGATCTTTTAGATCATTATCTGATCTCAAAAGCAAGTAAAAAAATGTAAATTCCTTCATCCTTTTGGTATGTTTCATGGGTTCCTAACAGATGCAAGTGAAGGTGGTGGTCAAGACATAATAGACACATTACATTTTAGAGTTGCATCTATAAGGGGATTTGAATCTAAAAATGACTGAATGTATTTAATGGGTGTAGCTCAATTGGCAACACACGCACAATAGGTGGAAAGAGAACCTGGGTTCAATTTTCACCAAAAACATCTTTGGGGATGAGGGAGAGTTTTAACTGTGAGTAAACCTCAACTCGTGATTAGTCTCATATCCAGCTCAAAAAGTTGTAGCTTATAGGAATATCTCAGGGCCAACTTGTTTCAAAAAGGTAATTAAGGTCGGTATACCAAATAAAAATAAAAATTACTGAATGTAAAAAAATCCTATCAAATGTAGTGCTTAAGAACTTGATTCTAATTATTAACTTAATTCACAAGAAACCATATTGACATATTAAGAATGCTTCACTTTTATAGTCCAAATGAAGAATGCAGCTATCTTAGATCTTATTTACATTGATTAGATGGAAACTGCAACAGCAATGCGTCATGACTCAACCATGTAACTAAGGATATGTAACCTTAAATTAACTTCCCTTAATTCCCATTAAACATTCACCAGACAAAATCTCATGAAAATATGGTTTATTTTGTAAGTAGTAGCATTGTCCTTACTCTTTTTTTCTCCAGAAAATGTTACAAAACTTGCCACCAGAACTGAGAATTCAAATGGAAATTATACAAATGAATATATAAAAGAAAAAGTGAGTTCACTAACTTGGTCCAGAACATTCTGAATGTTCCTCCCACGTTCAATAGCAAGACGTTGAATCCTCCGTGTAAGGCGCACATCAGAATCTGCAATGCTTAAACCATGGTAGCATTTTTAATTCAAGCATATATTTGTATCACTAGTACTTATTGTAGTGCTCACTAATTGACCTGGCTAAGGGAAAAAAAATTTAATAAATAAATAACATTGGAAGACAATCACAGTAATTTCATGCTATAAAATTTGAACCATAAGGAAAAAAAAAATATAGAAGAAAAGAGATTATGATACATCATTTTCTAAGTTTATGATGCTACAAGATTTCTGCATTTTATAAGCCGAAAAAGAAAGAGCAGGAGAAATACAACAACAACAAAAAAAAAAAAAAACTATCACCATATTTATTGAGGCTTGGCAAAAAAGTTTGTAATGCTGTTTCAGAGCTCATGATTAATGATGTATCGTTTCAAATGACATGCTCAACAATGTAAACATTCTATTGGTAATTTATCTGTTTTCTTGTTCAAGTGTTGTCTGCATGGATAAGAGGAAAGAAGAAAAAATACACTCCTTGTTAAACCCCGACTAACAAGGATAGGGATAAAGACAACCCTTGTAAGAAGCCTTATTGTTTTCTAGATTTGAACATGTGACTTTTCAATTACAAAAGAAGCAATAGAATAGTTTTATCACTACTCTAAACTCGCCTTCTTATGGATGTTGGATATTTGTGGGCCTCGGGAATTTTTTTATTTTATTTTTTACTTTTAGTAATTTGAGATTTGAACATGAATAGCTACTATTTTTTAGAGTTTCTAATCCTATTTATATTTTCCTTATAAATAAACCTTTTTTGTAATGAGTGTGATATATAGTATAACATTGTTGGACGTAGCTCACATCGGGCAAACTAGGGTAAATCTGTGTCTCCATTTTTTATTCCCTTTGCTTTTTTCTGTTTTGCGATTGTGTGTGTGATTGTTTCAATTCCAACAATAGATAAGAGAGAAATTCAGGAATAACTAACCTCCATCAACAAAGATCTTCATGTTCAAAATATCACGGACACGAGGATCGTGAAGAACTAATATCCCTTCTAAAATTATGATATCTGCAGGATTAACCTACAAATGATCATAAAGAAAAGAATTGTGAAGACCCTGCAGATTATATCAACAGATCAATGCATCCAAAACAGTGACGTAATAACTTTGTTTCTTCTAACACACCAATCTCATTATATGAAATAACAAAAAGTACACACCAAAATGTAGATTAGTACCTCACGTTCAGGTTGAGTTCTCTTACGGCTCTTCATATCATAATTGGGAATGGTAACACCTTCTCCACGTTTTAATTTCTCCAAATTTGAAAGCATAAGCTCAGTATCAAATGCATCTGAAGATTAAGGGCCAATAATTCTTGTATTGGATTTTATTTTCTAACAAATTCTGTATCAAAATATGTCTTTCATATGCTACACAAAATTTGAAAAACCATTCATTATGTACTCACCAGGATGATCAAAGTTGTACTCGTTAATTTTCTGTTGCAACTTGTCACTCAAAGAGTGGTAAAAGGAGTCCTATAAAATCATGTGTTAAATGAATTATAAGTAAAATTTCTAGAATCAAACTTTGGCGTGGAAAAGGATTTGGACAAAACAATAACACTAATGATATGGACAGATACAATGCGCCCCTCCGCAATTGGATGCATGATCTAACCCAAACAACATCTAGGCAAGAAATCCTCTATAAAAAGAGAAAATCACCTCATCTAAAAACCTAATCTCTTCTTAGTTATTGTGTACACACCCCACCCTCTCTGTCTCTCTATCACTCGAGTGATCTCCTGTTTACGATTGTCTCTTCCATAAACACCGTAAACCCAATATCCAACATCAACCTCGGATCCACGAGATCAAACAACTAACATTTCACATTTCTGATAGGTAAGAAAAGTAAACACTATTCATTCATCAATTTATCCAAACAAAAAAAATACAAAAATTAGCCCACCCTGCTTTCTTCCATTCAACAAAATACTTATTAACAAGCTATGAAGCACCGATACTTCTTAAAAAAAATTTCAACTTATCGGATACGCTTATCAGAAACGTATCGGATACGTATTGTTTGGTAATCGACATCCTGTATCATCGAGAACGTATCGAAAACGCCGTATCGGTGCTTCATATTTAATAAGAGTACATATTATTGAAAATTAATTACTTGATTAATGAGAACTACACGTCGATCATGAAGCTGGGTGTTTATCATGTTGCACACAGTTGTTTTCCCAGATGCAGTTCCACCAGTAACACCTGAACAAATTTCATTTTTAATTTGAAAACAAAAATTTAGTATGAAATTGAAAAGAAAAAAAGGTTGTTAAGTGAAAAAAAAATTTGTTACCAATGAAAAAGGGTTGCTTGGGGGATGATGGAGCTTTGAAGGCATTATTAGATTGGAGCGAAAGCTTGTCCTTAACGCATTGATTCAATGGCAATGCAATCTTTTTCCCAGAACTGTTCATCTCTATTACCATCTATATAACTAAGATCTTTGTAATATACACATAACACATTTATCTATACTTGAGATCAAAACGCCCCAACACATACGGTCAAGGAACATTACCCACCTTTTATCTCTGCTAGTGTTTTGGGAAATTTGTTACTCGCTTATTATTTAGTTTAATTTGACTAATGTATACATTACTTTGCGTTGTTAGTTATTAGTTTCTATTTATAGAAATGTTATAAAGCGTAGATACGTTTTGGTAGATATAAAACAAAACGGAACACGGTTGAGGAATCCCATTGTGGATGGGTGAAATTTCACATTGGTTAGACTAAGTGAATACCATCTAAGTGAAGGATACATGCACCACATCTAATGCCTTAATATTTTGGGTTTGATTGTGATGTCCAAATCCACTTAATGTCGCTACTCACTTAGTCCATGAATGATGGTCTCTTCCAGCCATGAGCTCCCCCTACTGGCCCAGCAAACATAACATATGAGTTGTATGTTTATATTTGGTGCATTTCAATAATAAACACATAATAAGACATGGGTTAAAATAGTGGATTATTTATTTTATTTTATTTTGGTACAATAAAAAAGGTATACATGGGTTAAAAATGTGGTTTATTTTAGTTTCACTAGAAATGATGCATATTTTGTTGCATTTTATCCGCGCACTACAAGCTATCTAAATGATTTATTGTTTTCATGTTTAGAAACAAATAGATGTGGGTTTGATTAGTAATGTAAGCTCAAGTGTTGCGTAATGATGCATACATATATAAAGCTCTTCTTTATTTCTTTTTTTATAAATTCCGGTATCCGATCGACAACGGGTGTCGATTAATCCAAATTCGAACCATAATCAGAAAGGTGATAAAACTCTCCCAACTAAATATCTAACAATTATGTATCCAAGACTCGAACTCAAAATCATACTTTAAGGTTGTGATGTTGTTGTAGAGTTTTCTAATATTGTGGTTATGGGTTGTGGATGGGGGCTCCTTCGAGTGCTATGGTAGAAAGAAGGTGATAATTCACCTACAAGGACTCTGACATTCAATCTATAGGCAAATATAGTGGAGTATATGTACGTACTTACGGAGCGTTTGGTATAGGAGAAATTTTTTTTAATCTGGGAAATAATTATTACTGAAATATAGTAGAAAATATATTTTACTGCAATATTACTAAAAAGCTGTTTGGTAGACACATATTTTCCCGGAAAATTAAGTTAATTTTAATGAGTTTGTGTTTGGTTGGTTATGAAATATGAGTGAAAATGTGAGGTTATTTTACCAAAATAATCTCACCTTTACCAATTGATTCAAATCTTCTAACCAACGTTGAAATAGCTTCGGAACAGATCTGGAGACAAAATGAAACAGATATGGAACTGAACCTTATTAACCACATATGAGAAGCAGATCTGTACCAAACGCCAGCCACATTCGTTGAAATAGCTCATATAGTTCTTCATATCAACCGCTTCATAGATCCTGGATCAGACTTCGAACGACTAGCAGTGTTTGATGGTAGAGTCCTCTGCACGTTGAAATATCATAGGGAGCTGTTGTTGCCATATTCACAAACTGAAGCCACCAACTCCATTTGTTCAAAGAGCCTACAATCAAATAAGGTTATTTTGGTCCACCTATTCACAAATATTTTTTCACATGCCCGGGTAACCAACTATTCCACATTTTCTTTGGGCTTCCTGCAACACTAGCCGTACGAGTCTTAACACACAAAAGCAAAAAACGGGAGATTTGTTTACCCGGAAAACTTTTTCCTTTTTTTGATACCAAACGTGGTATATTATGCTTCCCAATATTACTTTCCCATGGAATCAAATATAATCCACGTACCAAACAGGCCCTTAAGAGCTTATGCCTCTACATTTATAAAGTTTTGGTGCGTGTGATATGACCCAACAAATAGCTAACAGAGAGCAAAAGCCTTCGTGATAATCGTCTAGTTTATCTCTTTTTCTCATGAAAAAAGAAGCATAAAAATTCTCAAACTATAGACAATATCATGATTTATCTCAATTTTAATACATTTATGATTTATTTAAGATTTGCAGATTTTTTTATTTATTTTATTAAGATTTTTGGGCAATTCATTCCTATTTTTTATTATTTTCATATCAGGAATATACTCAAGATAATGAGCAATTTTATGCCAAGATCACGGACAAATATATATAGAACATAGATATATTTAGTGCAATGCAATGTCGCATCTCGCAGATCAATCGATCAGAACCACTGATTTGCGGATGATCATGTAATGGGGTATCCTTGGGAGTTTTTCAATTAGGTAGCATGGTTGGACCTAATTAATCAGGGATCCAATATACTGATCCAAAACAACATTATTATTCAAAGACTTGTAAAGGACTTGTGAAAATAAAGTTTAATGTCACCTTAACGAATTGTTATAATACAATTATGAATAAGACATCCAAAGTAAATATTCTCATATTTGGGTTCGTTTTTTTCTGCAATAAGCAGGATACGACGTCGTTTTGGAACGAAAATTATAATGTTTTGTAATTTTAATTTATTTCACAGTTATAATAGTCTTTATATTTATATTTTTTTAAGATTTCAATATCAAAACGACGTCGTTTTAAGAATAAATGCAGATAACTTATCTGTAGTAACTGCAGAAACATTTTTTCCTTAGTGATAACTTTTATAATGAATATTTGAAAGTCCACTAAAAATATCAATATGTTTGACAACTATTCTTAATATGGGTATTTAAAAAACCAAAACAAAAGTATGGGAGTTGAAGAAATTCCCACTTCTAAAAAATCATGTTTGTACTTTATTTAAGGTTGACTTGAGATGCGTTGAGCGTTGAAGGCACTTTAGCGGTGGACTCTGAATTTGAGTTTGAGGCAACATAATTGAACAGGGGACCATTATCCGTATGTCTACCTATGAAACGTCAAAATTTTGACATGTTTGGGAAATGGAGAAGATATATTTTCTTTATAATTTTCTATACAATAGTAATTAACTTGTTATTAATTACTCAAAGTAATAAGATATATTTTATATTAAATGAAATCGAATTATTTATAATTAGATATTAATTGAATTTGAATTTTTTAAATTAAAACATAAGAACAATATGGTTGATTAATTCAATATACAACCTTATCAAGGTATTATGAGTTTAGAAGGAAATAAATTGTCCATGAGTAACACGTGATATTGACACCTCCCTTAAATATATAGACTATGTTTTATATATAAAATAAATAAATAAATATTATACAAGAATTATTAATTTGTGTTAAAATGAATTGGCTTGGGAGGGAATTAATGAGGCATCTATATATATTATGGAAAGAATTATAAATTCTAGAATACTCTTTCGTGTATCCATGCATCGTGCAAGTTATCTCCTCCTACTAGAAGTAGTAATTTTTGTTTTTCTAACAATTTTATTTTATTCAAACATTAACCCAAAAATGATTGTATTTTAAAAACAAACTCCACATCCACATTCAGTTTTCATTCTCAAACTCAAAGCCATACACTTTCTGTCATCGTTTTAATATTTGTTGGGCAACCGGGGGAGCCTATAAATGAGCTAAGCGAGAATTTTCAAAATTATTAGTCAAGGGTAAGCTCGAAGAATTACAAATGAACATGTAAGAAAAACTGAACTGTGAACCGAAAAATCGACATTGTTATTACATCATAATATTATTACAGAATTTATAGCCTAACAATTAAAGAATAGAGTTTCATTTCATAAAGGAATTAAAAAAACTATTAAATCAAAGGAGAGCATTTTTGGTACCACAGTCGCAGTAAGTATTCAGTGCATATTTGCTTATGTATTTCTAGAATACATAGTGCACTATGTATTCTAGAAATACATAAGCAAATATGATCGTAGCATAGAACACTCGGTGCAACGATAGTATATTAAATTTTCCCATACAAAATGAGTGCAAATACAAATAGTGGGATGTATTGGTCGAAAAGAAATTAATAAAAAGATTCAGACACCGCATCTCAATCCAAAACCTTAAAGCATTAGGTTTATGGGTCATTCAACTTATATGAATTCCTCATTTAGTCCATTCATAACTAATGTAAAACTTCACTACTCACACTTGAATTTCCAACGGTAGCAATATTATTGATTGTCAGTGTCCAGCGTCATTGGCAAGTTGAATCGTCTCACCTCTGAAATCAACTATTAGATATTGACCCTAAGAGAGGTAACTAAAGAGGAACAAAAGAGAATGAACTCAAGATTATTATTCAGGTGATCAAAACATGTTACATCTCTCCCTTTTATACAACAATTCCCTATAATACAACTCTACTAAGCAATCCCTATAACTACTCATGTGATGAGTCACTAACATAACTGTTCACATGCAATTCCTATAACTACTCATGTGATGAGTCACTAACATAATTGTTCACATGCTTACACATGCCCACCACTAACACATGCTGATCTCTTCACCTAACATTCAACTTTATATTAAAGCTCATTCACTAAGTGAATGCAACTCTTATATTCATTAGTGAGTTACATACATAGTAATTGAGTCATAAGTGTACTACTTAAGTAAGAAGGTGAGAGATGCCGAATAGATTCTCTCAAATCTTATTTCAACATAATCATATACGTGGAAGATCTTAGTCATTTATTCATAGATTAACTATCATGAATCAATTTAATATTATTGACCGTTAATATATAAATAAATAGTTGAAATTTTTAATATAAGATTATCCATTTCTGTAAAGATGCATCTTCACGAGGCAATTAAATTTCATAATTCCCAATTTAGTGTAACTTCAAGTTTGTTTTTTCAAATGTTTTCGAAGAAGTTGTGGATCTTGTAGTTGTAACAATTTAGAGGAGTTTTTTGAAAAAAATTAATAAAATGTTAATAGGATCCGAGTATTAATTATGAACATATATAGCTTTTTTTCTATTTTAGTACATAATATATATATATAGCTTTTTTTAATA